ACTTATTAATGATTAAGTTTATTTAACATTATTTTATAAAACAGTTTTTGTACATAACCTTAAAAAGGCACCGTATCATCTTTCTCTAATTACGTTCTGTCTTCCCCGAAAAATTGCAAGGCCGAATTTCAAACTGGTACATCCATTCATATATTATCTATAGAAAAATCAGAATCGCGATCGTGGAATAACCTAAAAAATGTCATTCTTTGGAACTAATATATATTTAAAGTCATAATTATAATTAGAGCTGTGCATTATTTTCAGCTTATTGTAAAACGTAGCTTTCTTGTCAGACAGTTTGAATCATGAAACAACAAATTCGATTTTGAAAATTTTATTTTTTATGTTTTACCTACCTTGTCGCCTATCGGTTTTTTTGATAATTATTTTGAATTTTTATTGCATTTACATAAACAGCATTGTTGAGAATTTTGAATGCATTTTTTTTAAATGTTCAGCCCGTTCGATTCACAGTCATCGTGTAAATAAATAAATCAATTAATGTAAATCGTTAAACCATGATATTCACATATACTCTCGTTAAAAATCATCCTAACAGATCGATTGCAACGTTATACATTTAAAATGTTTGTTTTATGTTTTTATTAAATGTATAATCGTACGTTATCCCCTTTAATGTGGCGCACACCGTGTACTCTTCTGACCGCAGTGCTACCTATTTGCTTTAAATCGCGTTTTTTCCTCTTCTCGGTGTTTTTAACAGACGTGGCGTTCATTTTCCGCTGTAGAATACAGGAGTAATATGAGAAATCGAATGATCAGTGTTTAGTTGTAATAAATTATGATTATATTGCATTTCTCAGTGAAAACAGAATTTTATGGCGGACGACCATGAGTTGCCGTAGTGGAATTCAAAGTTTAGAAACGAACGATAAGCATAAGCGACGAGTCACATTTCCCCCCGATAAAACCTCAACAACCCCAAAAACGTTACCTTTATATCGTCTCGATGAAAAATTCGTACAAAATGTTATATACATGTTATATTTCATACATATACTACGGACGGATAATACTAATAACAATAATAAACTCTCAATAATAATGTTATTATAATGATCTCCCGAGCATGCCGGAACCGCCGTTGACGCGCACGCGCGCGATCCGACGGCGCGTAAAAAATATAATCGGCGACGGATCGGATTCGAATTTCGAAACCGATACGGGAACAAAACACGAGAACTGGTAATATTATTCGTTGAGTTATAATATAATATAATTTATATTAGGTATAGAATATTATATGTAAACGCGACGAATATATTACATTTGTATGTATATATATATATAGGTACTTACTGTCGTAGTCTAGTCGGTTGCAACTGTCGGCTACAATATTATGTCGTAGATACGGCTGGCGTGCAGGTATATATATATATTCGTTGTATACGGTTCGTCGCTCTCGTCGGTGTTTGGATACAATTTTGAAATATGACCTTTGCTGTGGGAGTGTAGATGACGAGTATTATTTGGTATATTACACGTAGGTAGGCTGGTACCTACTTCATTCGGTTGAATATCAGTTTGCCCGCGGAATTCCGGCATCGACTTGATTTCATATATTATTTTATTTGGATATTATAATATCAATTGAGCCTAGACATGCGGTGCATACCTTCTACCTAGACACGGCTCAATTTTGGGCAAAAGAATAATAGGTATTTAATATAACAATATACGGGGAATTGTAAATTCCGCCCGAAGTGAACGGGTAAAAATAAGGTCTATGGTAAATTCCGCCCGGGAAAATAAACAATTTACAAAAATGGACTTGTAAATTCCACCCTGAAAAAAAAATATTTTTGAACTAAGCGTTCCGTAACTGTGCGACTCGACCGTACTTTTCGCCACGCTGTGTATTATAGACTATAGGTAGTATTTGGAAATTACAAAATGTTCGAACGTGGAACATTGGTATCATAATTTTTGGGTTTAAAACAAATTTAAAAATGTTATCAACTGCAGAATGGATTTACATGGATGGTACATTTTAATATAGTTCTAAGTTTTTTTTACAACTATTTACTATACATGGCTATTTTAATGGCCATCATATACCTTTAGTTTTTTGTTTATTTAAAGCAAAAACTCAAAATATATATTGCAGTGTTTCAAATTAATATTTAATCTTTGTATTCATGATAATTACTTATTTGAGCCAAAGTATGTTGTCATTGACTTCGAAAAAGCTATACACAACGCATGTAAACCCATCTGGCTGAATATTCAAATTTATGGTTGTCGTTTTCATTTATTACAATTTTGGTATAGGTATGTTCAAGCCGTAGGGTTAAGTGTAGAGTATAAAACTAAAGCCTCGAAAATTAGAAATTGGATGGTTAAATGTTTCGGATTAGTTTTTTAGAGCCCGAGATGGTTTTTTATTACTTTGAAGTATTTTTAATAAGTTCTAAGCCAAATGACCATAGATTAACACAATTTTCAGATTATTTATTAAATAATTATATAAGTAATGACACAGCTTTTCCTCCAAATATATGGGCTGTTGCCACAGCAGATTTGAACAGAACGACCAATGCTTGCGAGTCATTTCATTCCCATTTTAATAAAAGTTTTGATTCTAATCACCCTCATATTTTTATATTTTTAGACAGACTTAAGCAAATTCAATTAGAAAATTACATAAAAATAAATAGTATAAATGAACCTCATAAATATAGAAATTTGAAATCAAAAAAAATATATATAAACATGCAAAATATAATTAGAAAATATAAAAATAATGAAATCTCAATGGATAATTATGTAGAGGACGTGGATCATTATTTTGGGGATTTTGACAAAAAAATAATAATCATCATCAATTTTGACTCGTATTTATTATAAATATTAGGTTCTACTTTTAAGATTTTTTTGAATTAATATGTGAAATATACGTTTATTTAAATACTTATAATGATTAATCTATGTTATTTATCATATAATTATTAATAACTAGGTACTTACTTTGTAAAAACTTTAAAGTAATAAGAATTTTTTACTTATAGGCAGGATGTGTTTATTAATTATAATTTTTATACGGGCGGAATTCACATGTACCTACCTTATTTTACCTTTAGTTCATTTCGGGCGGAATTTACCATTTTCGAGTGGAATTTACATGCGCACACAATTTATATACGTTACCACATTATGCATTAATATGTTTATTTATAATTTATGTTATTTACTTCACTATTCGTTTTAGTTTGGTTGTACACTGTCAAATGAATGATTATAAAATATATATTTAATATGTGCTGCCTGAAAAAAAAAATGATATTATATAATACCTATACTAATATAGGTACGTTCTCTGTTTTTATACAGACGACTTGTAAAAACATAAAAATACTGAACTATAGAGCTCCATGGGTCGCTAACCTTCTCCAATAAATGAGCTATTTTAAACATTTTAACGATCTGGTGATCGACCATCACTATTTATTTACGTATATTACTGATATTCTTACATAGAACAATAATATATTATACATCGTATTCTTCTTCTAATATTTCTTCATTAGAAAATTTTATTTTTTCTTCTCTAATTATAATACATTACTCTGTATGTAAAGTGCAAAAGTTTGGTTAAGATAACTCACGTGAACAGCCAATAGCTATTTAATTCATTTTTAATACGATCGACCAATATTCTTCTAAAGTCTCGATAGACTGGTTGGCGATCCCTGCTTTAGAGTGTAGGACAGGGGTCACTAATTGGTAGTTGCGGTTTGGATACGGACCGCGAACATTATTTTATTGACCCTCATGTGTAAATATAAAAACTATAGGTGTGTCATATAAAACATTTTGACAAAAAAATTATTCAAATATTATTGATACAATTAATAGGAAGGCAGGTTTAAAAAAAATTGTATTTATTAACGTGTGTAAAAGTTATTAAAACTGTTTGGAACCGAGGAAAGTTTAGTAAATTTCAAAATGGACCTCTTTGAAAATTAGTAGGTGACCCCGGGTATAGGACATTTTTAGTGCAGATGGATAGGTATGAGTAAGTTAGGATTACCTAAAGATTAAAAAATTACAAAGTTAAAAAATAAAAATGTATATAATTATATTATAAATGTATTATGTAAGACATACATTTATTAAGTATAAAAATTTTACACGTGAATAATAAATATTATTTCCAATTTTTTTTTCCATCAAAACACAGATTCTTCATACGAGTAATACTAAAAACTTAACTCAATTATAATATATATATATATATATATATATATTATGCTACAGCGATGTATTATTATTATAATATATAATATATATAATGATATGTACAAAAAATAAAATATACACTGTATAAAAATATAGTAAAAAAAATAATCATAGAAAAAAATTATAAATGATGATAATAATAAAGTGACTAGAATTAAAAATACTACAATAGACAATATAATAATTATAATATTATATTTAATATTATACACACGAGCGCGACTCCACAGAGATACGCGTGTTTAGATCGTCATCGCTGCGACACGAGTAAAAAAAAAAAATTCATCAACCGTTTAATACTATAACATTACATCGATCGAGGTCGAAAAATCACCGCATAATGCACGTGTACCAGAATATAATATTGCACCGCGGTTGAGACACGAACAAAATTAAACCAAGAAATATTAAACGCGAATACTTATACATTATGTTAAACTAACAGATGATGAGATAATAATAATAATATAATGATGATAGGTAATAATAGTAAATAGCAAATAGTAATAATCTTATTATTCTTATTTTAATAATATTATAATATAAGACCCTCGCTCAGGTAGCTCGGCGTGCTATAACATTCACACGATATTATAAAATATTTATATATATATATATATTATTATACACAGTACACTCACATATACACACGCGCGCGTTAATTGACGACGAGTACGATACGAAAAAATAAAAATACGCGACGACACATTAATTACGTCCGTTTTACGACATTGTTACTCCGAAAACTCGTAAAATTTTTTTTCTTCTCCATATCATATAATAATATTATGTTCGACCGGGTCGTAAAATCACGAAAATCGATAAAAGCCTAAGTGCTCTCTTGCGTATTGTACGTATTGTTTGTTTCCCCGTCGTCGGGCTCACGCGTAATAATTTACGATGATAATATTATTATTATTTTATAGGTACCTAATAATATGATTATCGTCGACGCCGCCAACGAGGTGTGTTACACGGCGGAGTGCGGAAACAAGTATCCGGCAAGTATGCGACGAGTGGTGCACACGAGTCGTATATTTTCGTGTAGTTTTTCCGCTATCGGTATTTTTTCTTTATTTAATGATTAAAAATACATGACGTGTCTTAAGGGCGCGCGAGGGAAACAGTAGCCCTCGGAGACGAGCCGCCACCCACGTCACGCCACCACCCCACGGCAGCAGCCGTTCACAAGCCACCCCTGCTGCTGCAGTCGTCTACGGATCCCATCGACGAACAGTCTTCGGAATCGCCCCCGTAAGACCGCTCTTCTTCCGGTGGCGAACTGCCTGCGGCGGCTGATGCGGCGTCAGCGGCGGCGTCGGTCGGTGGCAGACGCGACGACGGAGAGCACTCGGGACACGCGCCGCCACGACCCTTGTCCGTTTCCGGGGCCATGTACACCTTACCGCACTTGTTGCACTCCTCTTGGGTTTCACCTGCGGAAAAAGACGAAAAAAATTAAAAACATATTAATATATTATAATGCACGACGACTAGATCACATCGGGATAACGTCATTGCATTATAAATACTGTCGTTATTAATGGTTGCTGCGGCGTGAGCGTATATTATTATCATATAGTATACAGGTATAGTGGTTTATAATAATATAAAGGGACTTGGGGTTCGGTGGCATGGAAACACTTAAAAAAATATAGAAACTCGCAAGCATAACATAATATATACCTAGTAACACGAACTACAATGTATACCCTTAACGTCTTATCATTTCTATAATTTCTCTAATTATAATTTATGTCATATTATGTGACATCAAAAATACGCAGAGTGATAAAGTGATTTCGATAACCGATGCTATACATGTCGACGGTTTTCAACCATTTTATACCCTATAGTACTATCCACAGGGTTTCAACATTTTCAAGTACCACTTGAAAGTATATTATAATACTAAATATTATGTTGAATATTGATAATAATTGTAATTTGTGTCTTCAAAGTATGAGCTTTCCGCGTTCCACTAGTGATAAGTATACGTATGCCTCCTACCGATTTAGTATCGATGCTATATACTTGAACATAAAATAATATGTTGCCGAGTATAAGTTTATATTTAAAGTAGACGACTTTTATACATGCCACACTAGTGTCCACACTATGTTATACTACGTCATCGATTAATATTTATGTGTGGCCACTGGCCACATAAGAAATTCAGAGGCTAACAAAATGTGAAGTACATGTTATTTAACAAAACACAAGGGAAAATCAAAAATTCAAAAGAAAACGTATGAAAATCTAACTTAGTTCCTCATAAAAAAATTATTTTCATGTCTGTGGCCTCAATAAATTTCATCCACGGCCCACGAGCCGTCATTTGGTGACCACTGTGCTATTCTTTTTCAAACAAGCATACCGTGTATCGTGTGTAGATTATTGTGAACATTGGGCCTTGGCTTGAAAAAAAATCCCCAAAACAATGACCAGTGATTTTATTCGTCATATTTTGAAAGGAAACATACTCGAAATCTTGAGCTCCAATCACATTAATGCGATATTGCAATATGATCTGCGAGGCGCAGTCTGAAAATATTCGAATCTCGGTGGTCGCAGTCTCATAATGATATAGGTACCATATACATAATACCTATATGAGATAATATATAAATGTTATATTTTCTAACCGATTTCATTCAGTTGATTTGTGCAATTTGTGTAGGTATATCAGGGATTTTTGGAAAACATCATTATATATTTTATACAGTCCCGCCAAACGACAGAGTCTAATGGATATAATATATAGGGCCCATTGCCGTGATCCTCGGCTATCACACAATATATATATATCATTATACGTAGAGCATTATATTATTATAAGGGTTTAAGTGTTTTTTATAGGTCGCCAATTATTATCCGTCGCCGTTCGTTCGCCTATATACCTAAAGGGGGTAATTCGGTGGGCGTAAGTGCGTGTATAATAGGACGACCAAATGTACGCCGATGTCTATTAATTTGGGTAGTTTATTATTACTATTATTTAAGATGTAATAAAATACAGGCGCCACGGATAAATGCGAGGACAATTTTCGCGGCGAGCACACGGGACCGGTTCACGAAAAAGGTATGTATAGGTACCTACACACGGATTTCGCCAAGAACGGTGGATGAATAAGGCTTGAAACACCCCGTTTGTGGGCATTAAACGCGAGCGGTAGGTACATATCGTTCCGGCAGAGAATTGGCTGAGAGGATGAAAACATACAATACCCATAATATCGGTGTTTCACGATAGGTCTTAGACTTAGCCGCCGCAGCACGTAAACATGCGTAACGTGTGTTTACGCGTGAGGGAAAACGACGCCCACACGCCGTTTATAGTATAATGATAATAATGATAATAATAATAACATATCGTTTGTGTGAAAGTGTGTAGGTATATGCGAACGGCGGCAGCGTGGCGGTGGGAAAAAAATGGAGAAAAAATTCGTTTTAAGAAAAATATTAAACGTCATAATGGATTTGAGTTTCGGGTCGGTGACGCGGACTCTAGCCGCAGTGCGGCGGCTGTCAAAAAATAAAAATAAATCCTAAAGAAACAGCAAAAAATCTATACGAGCAAAAACTAATGACTATAACAATATCGATTACGACGCGCATCTTTCGTACGGGTTAGATTAGATATCATATATTCTATACGAATTTCCTGTCAGGCCGTTCTGTAATAACATTTTCCTCTCGGTTTTCCTATATCCGCTCATAGTCCATGAAATAAAGTTGTGCGTTTAAGCATGCGTATATACTTCACACATATTATAATCCTCACTCCAAAAACATCCAACCCGTCCATTGTTGATCCGATAAAAAAGTCATTGTTCAGCATAACCTAGAAAATCTCACTTAGGAACTGCGAATAATAATAATTGTAATTATTAAGTCTAAAACCATGAATTGTATGGAAATCCAATGATAATTATTTATGTAGCACCACCTGCTGCAGTGCAGCATTTAAACACTGCACTTATATTATAATAGTATGCGAGGCTGCGCAACTTCTACATTATGTGGATTAAAAGTACCTATATAATACGAATGTGGGGATATCTGTTATTTTATATTGATTTAATATTATGTTTTTTTTAAAAATAAATCATCGTTTGATGTACTGCCGGTGTCGGATGATACGCGCACTACATAATAATAATTTCCCTAATACGGCGTATAATACGCTTAGGTACATAATGCGTATAGAAAATTATCGTACACGAGTTGTCTGTTAATCTACATAATATTATTATAAATCGAATAATAAATTGATATGGCTGTGCTTATTATATGTATATAAACGACCCGGACCTGTGTTAGGTATGTATAATAATAATAATAATAATATGTATTTTCAAGTCCGTCGTCATTCCGTCGGCTCCTCTAATAATATTCCATTTTAATAAACATATTCGCGAGCTCGGATTTCTCGCCCGCTCATTCGACATGCTGTCCGCGTCCCGCACCCGCTCAACCGTTACTATCATCACCATCGTCGTACATCCGACTGCTTTTTTCAGTCGTTTTATCCACGCCGATCCCGATCGCACGTCGATTGAAAATCAAAAAAAATTTTAAAACGAAATAATATTACAGGTACACAAATGAATCTGCGGCGGCGGAGCTCGCTCTCTCAATTCAACGCGCTAAGCAATCTTCGCGGTCTCGGCCAAAACTCGATCTCCCCGGTACGTAATACCACAGGTGTGTGATAATAATTATATAGTACCTATATTTAAATACACATGCATACACGAAAAAAAAATCGTTAAACTATTACACTCAAGTTTTTGAACTTTCCTATAACGCACTCGTTTATTAGTTATTACACTTGGCTTCGTCGACGTATCTGTCGGTATATAAATACTTCGTATGTACAATAATAATACATGTATAACATAATATACACTACTTATTATGGTGCCTATACCAACGGAAAGGATAAGAGTGTGTATTATAATACTTGTGACGTATAATTATAGGCAGGTCGAGCTGGCGTAAAAACTGCACGTGGTCGCGATAATATCGGGTTTGTGCTGCTCTAGGACGATACGATATTACAATTTATAACCATATTTACAGGAAGATTTGTTTTTTAATCTAAAGAGATAGGTTTTTAATTTTCTCTGTTAATTTTCAATTGTATTTTCAGTTTTATGGAGTAGAAAATTAAATTTTTTTCATAATTTAAATGGTATTTGGAATGGGACTTCTCTTACTACTTATAACACTATTCAGTATTCACATATCTATTAACATATATTTTTGTATATAAATTAAGCGAATATTTATAATCTGTACATACGAGTACCTACACTATACAGTTAATATAAAAAGTAATGTATGTAAAATAAGATACAATAACTGAGTGGATTGAACGAAGATGAGCATTCGACATAACTACTTACTTAAAATGAATTCTATAAACACAGAATAGTGACCGAACCAATATGCAAATATAATCAATTATAATTTAAACGTTTTTAAAATATCAAAAGGAGTGGTGCAGTTATAGTAGTCAGTAGAATATTATATGGCGATCATCAAGCTAATTTCATCTTCGTACTATTTTGCCACATGCCTATTTATTGACTATGTCCAGATATTTAGCGTATTTTAAGTAAAGACAAGTTAAGGTTATAATATTCACCTAACACCGTCCGACTAACACGTGTAATATAAATCATATAATATTATCATCAAGTGGGATTTATTACTCGAGACTATCATCACAGAATAAATTAATCAGAATGGACACTGATAACTGACAAGGAATTATTATATACTATGAGTAGCGTATGGGGGCATCTGATGGACTAATTCGTCTTTTTGCGGAGGAAAGTCATTATGACCATATATATATATTATATAGCAATAATATTATCTTCCTCCAACAAAATGGTAGCTAATTATTGTTAACGTTGCAGTGTCCAGAGGCTTCTATCATGAAAGGTTCTGCAGTCGCGCGTCGTTTTCTATAGTACCTTTGTAGGTTTAACAAAGACTGCGCAACCCGCACAAAAAAAAACGACGTAATAATATTATATTATAATAACATGTCGCGAGACTATTCATTACCTACCTATATACGTTAGGATAGGCGACGTATATAACTATAATAATTATAATATAATAATACTGTATGACTATAATATAATATTATTATAGGACTCGGCCATACTCCCGCACTCTACTATAACATGGTGTAGCTGATAGTAATATAGGTAGGTACCGTATTTATATATTATGTTACACGCGTGTGTGTGGTTATTGGGTTGTGGAAATTACACGTTATCCTGCGCGCGCGGCAGAAGACGGCGTCAACGTGATCCCTAACTTATATATATATATATGTATCGTTGCCGGCTCTAATGAATCGGTCGGTAATCTCGGCTGCGGAGATGGGTTTACACACGCGTATTTATGGCGAAGTATATTATGGGTACCGCGTTACCTTAGGGTGGGTGTACGCGCGTACGTGCACTGTATAATATTAAACATGCCTATATAGGTAATAACGATTGTGCCGAGACACACGGCGAGAAAAAGAATAAAGGTGAAAAAAACTGAGAAAAATAAATGGAGTGTAAGGACAATCCGGCCCTACACGCGACGGACCGCGGACCCTGTCGAAACTCGAACAAGTGCTATCATTCCGGGTACCCAATACCCGCAAATAATAACAAATGGGTAATTTAAAGATTATATATTATTGGTAACATCATAGACTCGCATACGACGGCGGCAGTCGTAATCGGCGAGCTCACGTTATGAAGTATGATGATGATGTGGTTATTATATGCTATATATAGGTATTACGGATAATATACTCACTCTCGTGGGTCTTCATGTGTGCTCTCAGGTTGCAGGCGAGGGCGAATTTCTTTTGGCACAGTTCGCAAGCGTGCGGTTTGTCCCCTGAAACAAACAAAAATTACAACCTTTAAATATACGTCTTACATGCCTATTATTTTCGAAATATAATATCATATATTTGCGTGTCTATATAGTTATCTACTTTACGAACAACGCGCAGACTGCAGTTATCGTCGTGTGTCAATAAAAAATAGTTGATAATATAACACGATGAGTATTTTACGATATTTATGTATATACGTAGGTATATGTATATTGCAGCAAGACGAAACCTTAATCCGGATTAAAATATATTATATTATAATATTATACCGTCGTCGATTCGTCTTGTCCGGATCGGAATGAATATCACGATTCCACTCGTCGAGAGAAAACCTGCAGCGGTGGACCATAATAATAAACACATGAAATGGGTTTCTCTCTCCCTCTCTCTCTCACTCTGTCTTCATATGCACGTAGTACACGTCGTAAATATATTAAATATGTATATGTATATAAAAATGAATGTGCGTTTCGGTGAGGCTTATAGAAGTGGAAACTACTGATCCAAAATGTATAACAATATTCCTCGTGACTCGGGCAGTGTGTTTATAGCTATACACTTTTCATCCCCTATAGGTTACTATATAGGTGGTTCCCACTTGACTTTCGTTTTTAATCCCTAAAATCGAATATTCTTTTTGTTTTTATAATATAGAGTTGCTATTGGCTACTGTTGGTATGTTTGTAGCTTAAAAACTGTACTCTACCGATTTTGGAGAAAATGTCAAAAGTTTTTTTTAGTGATATCAATTCGAGTTTAGACTTTAAAGAACCTATAGCTGGAATCACTTTCAATTCGGTGTATTTATCAAATGCTAAATCCAATGCTGCACAGGAGGATTTCGTCCATCTCGAACAAATTAGTTTGTAAAGCATAATATGGTAGGCCAACACCGATTTTCTAGTGAGTTGAGATACACTACAACTAATAATAGATACCCAGATGTAATGCTGTATTTTGCATATTTTGTTTGTTTTTTCCTTGGCAAAGTCACGTTTACAGCAGTTATAGTATGTTTATATCAAATACATATAAATAAAATATTTATATGTGTATGATTTAGATGGTATACTATTTCGTTGACGAGTGTCTAGCTAGTATATATGATGCACAGAGAGAGGAGGGAGAGAAAGAGAGAGAGAGAAACTTCGTCTTCGTGCCCGACCACGTGATCGTATGACATGTGACTACGTGTGACGTGCCGTGATGGCTCGGTGTCGTCTCGATGAAAGGGTTTATACATTATACAATAATATTATAACAATTAATAATAATATTATTATTATTTGCGAACGGGTCGATTCGCTCACCGCCATCCGCCACTGCCGCCCCGGTCGTTTCGAGACGATTTTAATTAGACATCTCATTGTTCAATTCAAACGTCACGTTGCCGCGGTATAATAAGGCGAAGAAATTTCCTCACCCCACCCCTAGCAGTATATCGCCGTCGTTTTGAATGGCACTAGTCGATGCCTCCTCCGCCGTCACTATACAAAGTACCAATACACATAATACAATATATACGCGCATATACATATTGTCGGTATATATATATACGTATGGATACAGAATGGGCACAATCGCCATCATATCCTACAGCACTAGAGACCATCTGACCGGGGGTTTCTTCTTATTTGCTCAGGTTCAATTCGATTTTCAATAAATGTCCGTCGTCGACGCATATACAGATAGGCACTTTATAATGTGCAGAACTGCAAGTGCAGTCGATCGCTGCAGATTTCCCAATAACGTTGATAGTATATACGCACCGACTGGGGACTATACTCGTATAGTATACCGATCGTCATCCGCTTGTGCGGTCGGTCCAAATATTATTATATTGTCCGGCGAAATCGACAATATTTCAGAACATGATATTATAATACAAAATATGATACCTGCAGTGGTGTACATATTTACAATTGGCGGCGGTGATCTGGAAATGGAAGTTTGCCATCGTGCGAGACTCTTATAAACACGAACGAAACCATTTATAAAGAAAACACTATCGGTCTATGCATGATATATATAGGTATAGCCGGTATAGGCACACATATGCAGATCATCAGTTTTATCCATATCCGTGATTTATTACATTATTTGTGTGTGGGAAGTGGAAACTGAGAGTTGCTTGTATTTTAATAGATGATAATAATACATATTACCTACGTATATTATATATAATATGCTTATAAGCGTTCGATAAATCGCGGTTTCTTTTTTGTATATATTGGTCCTCATTATATATAGTATATATTATCATGTACATTATATTATACGCGTTAATCTGGCGCGTCAACATTATAAATTTATAAGACTCATAACCGCATTACCATCGTCTGCATAATATGGCTATGTATAGTAGCAGATCGATCGTGTTTTTTCTTATTCGCTTCTAACACATACCTCCCTACTTTATATAATATTATGCTTTATTTTAATTTATGTTCACCCGTCGATCTGCCGCCGAGCACATCATCATCGCCGTCTCGTATATTACAGGACCAGTATGCATCTTTCGGCCACGGTCGAGTGTCGACCGCGGGCGCGGAAATCACAGCCGCGCTCATATAAGGGGGGGGGGATTAAATATATAAATATAATTTCCACACTTATATATATACGCACAATACTATTTCAATAATAATAATATATGCGTGTAATATATGTATACGTTGTCGTCGTGTACCGGCCGATAGTATAATAATATAACGATAATAATACAACGTTTCATTACGTGTACACGGCTACTATATAGGTACTACACGCGCGTAATAAACACACGCTAAAAAAGAAAAAGAAAAGAGGATAGATTATATTATATTATTATAATAAATATTATGCATAGGTGTGAGTGTGTGTGTGTGTGTGTGTGTGTGTGTGTGTGAGTGTAATAGCTGGTGCCTATATGTATATTAAAAAATATAAAAGGTATAAAAACAAGAACAGGTCGGATCGCTCGGGCCGGTGCGTATAATACGTATGTAGCTAAATTACGACGGTAATTATTATTCCGAGGGGAGAACGGGTTTGACCACCCTCCCACCCCAACCCCTCCCTCTCTCCCATGGTTCCGACGACTTCGTCCAGCCCCTCGTGTGCCGCGGACGCCTTCGAATCACGCTCGCGCATAATTTGTATCAGCGGTAGCTGCATCAGCAGTCAGCCCGCTACCATATACCTGCTGCAGATAACGACCGAGGTACCGCGGTAGCTGCACGCGTGGGACGTCTTCCGTTGAGGGGTGTGTGTGTGTGTGTGTGTGTGTGTGTGTGTGTGGGTGTGTATGTGTGGCAAGGCGCCGCTGCGTAAACAGAACGAAAAATCCAAACAAAGAGCGTTTCACCGAGTCTTAAAGGTTTTCCACACTTAACACGGCGACCATTGATTTCGATTGGTATAATATCGATTTGCTAGATGGAGATCGAATCGGTTTTCGGGCGGCAGGAGCTCCTGGAACCGACTATAATATCTATACTCTGCAGACATGCGCTCCACACTCTAAGTTAATATTATTTTATCGCACGACTGTTTTCCGGTTTCTTCTCCAAGATGTCGGTACGTACATATACGTGGATTTGTTATTAACGTTTTATTGGTATATGTTATAATAAGAAGAAGCGGAATGTTAGGTTATTAAAACAAATACTAATGACGGGGTGTTGTCGTACCCATGCAGTTACCGTTCAAACTCAGTTATGCCTCTGCCGAAATTTATTACACGATATTATATAATATAACAATAATAATAAGTCATCGGACTCAAGATCCTTGTCGGGACGCGTGCGAGCGGCAGGTGTCACGAAAAGCGAGGAGACACCTGCTGCAGCACCAGTTGATGCACCTACATAGAGAGAAACGCGACTTTTCGGAAGCACTCGTCAAAGTCTCCCGCCATTTATAATAGTCATCATTGTTATCGGCTAAACTCACGAATAATAAATTATTATTAAACGTGGCAAGGGAACAACAGGCGGAGTTTCAAGGATTACAAATCTTTTCCAAAACTTTTATACGAATCGCTGGAGCGGCGTAGATACCCGGCGACAAAGTGGTGTACCTATTTTTAAATAATATATTATAATAAGTTGGGTATAAACTATATTGGACGACGACGGAAACATTCCATCGGGCGGCTTCATCGGCGGTGCAGGACGGACGATATTTAAATATATAATAATTACCCGGCGACGAGACCGGGTCGTGTGTCACGCGTAAATCAGCCCCGGCCAATAATAATCTACCGACTGGCATGTACGACGGCGACGTTATAATACACACGTACCTTTATTATTCTTCTCTCGTCTCTCTCTTTCTCACTCCCTCTGTGGCTCTGTTTATAATATATTATATGGGACGCAGGGCAGATGTAAGCGGCAGATAAGTGAACGGTGCACGACCGTGTTTATGTTAATGAACTGACGGCAATTACAAGTTAATTTACTCGAGGGGCTCCTGCTCGATTGATAAATATATACGTATAATAATAGCTCTGTATGCGTCGCGTCGCATATACGTACATCTATTATATTATTATTTTCTATCCGTTTTGTCCAAGCACCGCTGCTACGGTTACGCGCGACGAGAGACTACTGCGCAGTGTTCACCCCGGACTGGGCGGCGCGGACGACGAGGAGAACAACCTACTGCGCGCGATAAGATATAATAATATTATAATAGTCCTTTTCTATTATTTTTTATTATTATCGCACCATTATTCACCCGGCCTTCGTGCTTCTTCGCTCCCATTTTCTGTTTAAAATATATAATATTATATAGGTACTTAATAACAGATATAGTAGAATTGTTATTATTATGTCCCGTGCACAAAAGATAACCGCGACCGATACGCGCACATTATACATTCAAATACGTCATATTGTATAATGTATAGGGCATAGGTATTTAATATACATATTATTATTTTACACTGTCTGAATTCAAACTTTCAACACTAAAATAGCATTTAACCCTGCACATAGTTAGCAAGTCAGCATAA